CTCTATACACACATGCACACTAACCTAAAGACACAAAGCGGCATTTAAACTTATCTCTTAGCCTAGATTAATGGCTATTGTTCTGTAAGCATTTTTCCAATCACCAACACCAGTTATCATCATAGAAGTATTCAGATATAGGTAAATATATCCCAGAGAACAAAGGCTCTGTTCACACTAATTGGTTATTTGTGTACAATGATTAATTCAATATTGATTTCAACTTATTCCTCTCTGGGTTCAGGTAGATAAAAACGCGGACACCGTACAACTGTTTCAACCCGGTTGGCGAGGGCGGGCGGCAAATGTGACTGACACACGTAGTGAGGTTGCAAAGATGATCTTTGTGTTATATAGTGCTTAGGCAAAATGAGAATCGGTCTGATCAGCTCTCAAGTGAGCGATAGGCGTGCTTTTTGCTTGTGAAGTCCCGGGTTTGATAGAGCTGTCCAGTTGATGAGGCTCAATCAGATCGCACCAACTGTACCTGGACTTCTTTGATTGTTTTTTGTATTCACACTTCGTTTACACTATGCACAGTGAAATTCCGTAGAAGCAACAAAAAAAGGAACGAAAACCAAATCTTATTGTTTCATCTGAATGAACACAGGTTTCATTGGGCAAATTAGACCAATGAAATAATCTTTTCTTCCCAGTGTGTATAAAATTCAACTAGTTATTTTTCATATTAGAAAAGTCTGGGTCGTTTTTCTGCCAGAACTAGTTATACGTAATCTCTTATTGTTATCGTGACAGATACATGATACCTACTTGGCAAACAGAACCATGCTGCAACACGTGGCGTTCAACACTTGCCTTTATCATCGTAATAAAGTGCCGTAAAATTCGCAAAAAAGTGCTTACTCGAAATCTATCCCCGTGTTCTTGGTTTTTTATCACCAAGTCCAATTGCCAACGCTAAATAGGAACAAAGCGTAGCGGGCCACGAGATATGATCTTCCGATTGTGTTCCGGTCGCTAATTTAGTAGAACTTGGGCGCATCAATCTCACGATAAACGAGTAAAGCCCCAGTCTGGGTGTATGCTTCCAGTTTGGTTTTAGGCGGTGTCGGTCAGCATCACATGAAATCAGAGTTCGTGTTTTCCCGTTTCCATCACTACTGTCTAACTTTACTCTATATCATGTGACACATCATTTGCTGGTCTCTTCTCTCATTGTGAAAAAATTCCGATATAATTATTTGCTCAACACAAAAGAAGATATATTGAAAGTATAAAGACATGACATTTCATAACTTTTCCCTACCTGTATGGTGCGTGCCTTCTGCGCTGTCTGTCGTACCAGCCCTGATAAATCTGTCTGGAGTCGGGTAGTTTGGACGAAAGGTGAGGTGCCCCGGGTTGAGTAGCATACAGCATACAGCCAACTAAGAAAAACGTTCACGGTACATGACACACATATAGCTGGTTTATAGGTCGGTGAGCAAGTAGAAGCGGGCAACAGGTAGTGAAGCAGGTAGGTAGGCCAAAAATAAGCTCAAGCGTTACACAAACCGTATGCTATCAAGTAGGCATTCCAACAGTCAACAAATCAATTAACGAGAACAGTTTAATACAAACACCGAATTAGCTGGAGTCGATCGATACTGTGGTAGAGTCTGTTCGTGCTGTGTGAGTGCATGCGTGACGGCTAGCTGACAGCATCTGTCAATCAATACGGCCAAAGGCAAGCGCGACAAACGTACCAGTCTCTTGTAGGCCACAACAGATGGAATTTCATGAACATTTGCTACACACACAGTCTCATAAACAATTCCTAATCTCATACGGGGAAATTCGTCGTGTGTGGAGCAAATGAGCACGTAAACTGAATTTTAATGATTGATCATGAACGGCTGATTTAAGGAATGAACATCCGAGAGGGTGCTAATGGGAAACAGGCTAACGTTTGAACTGCTCTCGTATCATTTAAAAACGGACACTTTGAGTGTGACCAAAAATGAAAGATTATTGAGGTTTCAGACAAACCAAAAGTCGTCAAATACCGCTGGAAATGGTTGAAACGAAATGAAACAACTGAACCGAATTAGATAAACAACTCACCGAGCAGATTTTCGTCTACGCTCAGGTAAATCATCGCTTTCTCTCACGCCGACCGGCGGTCTTCGACGAAGACCGTCACGTTTGAAATACGAACGTTGCGGTGAACAGTCCCGGGGAGCACAGAACACAACTTGTGGATTCCACTTCCGATCGGCACCGGTTGCCATTTCATTTACCATGAAAGAGAGATTGTACAGAGAATCATGAGCTCCGATCTCCGGAAAATTCCCACTGACAACTTGCCGACGCTTGAATCGATGTGCTGTGGAGTTTGATTGTGTGATCCGAGCATAATCGTCTTCATCACAGTGTGAGTGAGGTCGTGGGCGCAGGCGCACGTGACCTCGTCGATATGGTTCACTTTCCAACTTGCCTCGGTCATCCAGTCGGTTACCTGACCCGGACGAGTGGCATGCGACGGATGCATCGTTTACACTGGTCGTCGTTGTCGTCATCATGGCTGCACCCGTGGTGGTGGCGGTGCTGGTGGACAAGCCATAATTGATCAGAAATCTTCGCTGAAATGCCCACAAAGCCGCTGCCTGACAAACATAACAACTTCGTGCATTGTGATCTAGTGTTTGGGTGAATCTGCTGCGCACATTCCGAGTCCGCGTTTTACGACCGCGACGGTATTTGTTTGGCGAATCGGTCCGGGGAAGTTTGTGCTCGCACATGATTGTTCCACTTGGACCAGACAAAGTGGCACAAATATATGTTTTACGTAGCGGACTGTCCATTGGACCGGCCTGGTTCGGTAGCACAGTTGAACCGGTCGCCCAACGGACGCACAGATCTAGACCGTGTGAGTGATAAGGTGTCGATCCTGTGTGGTTATCCTGAGTGGCTTGGGTCTCACGAATCGTAATGTGACGGTGAGTGGACTGATTCACCAGGGTCTTAGCCTCAAACGTTGGCAGTCTGTGTGTAGTGCGTTGGAGAGTTTGGTTTGAATTGCGATAGGTCAGACAACCGTGTCTGAGTTGGGCCAGTAGTACAGCAAATACCGAGTTCACCAAGGCGTCGGCATCCTATTTAGAAAGGATAGGAGATATGGGTGAATGTAATGTGTGTGTGTTTGAAATGCTTGCACTATCGAATTTGCTACGAAAAGTGTATGGAGGAAAGACAATGTTTTATTTAATAGTGTTTTTCTTCACTCGTACCAAGGCATGAGGAATCCACCGAATTCGGCCCAAAATCGCGTTTTGTAAAAGCACTGCTTCCCCGCTATCGTGTGGCATAATATGGAACGAAAAACTGTCTTGGAGTAGAAACCTTACAGCTTTAGACGATATCAAAGCAGACGGAAAACACTACACTATAGATCCGCTTTGGAAGGGTGAAGATATCCTGGCATTTCAGGGTTTGCCTGATCACCAGAATGACAACCCGACATTCAAAATTGTAAATAAATCTTGACGGATGCAGATTATAGTTGTCTCTTCTCAGTTTAGCTATCCACATATTGAGAATCATACGCTATAATTTTTGAGTTCGAGATACTAGAGCCCCGAGTAAAACTCTTAATGTTTTCAGTTGAGCAAACAGATGCGTTGAGCTCAATCGATCATCGGTCCCGGACAAAGGACTAAGTGTGGACCGGGACGGAGAACCGATCATTGAGTGCGTGTGTGTATACGAGCATGTAAGCAAATTACTGACCTTCAGCCAAACACCTGATAGGGTGTCAAAATGGCGAAAGTGACCGTGGTAGCATATTGTATCTCCTTATTTGATCAGATGCACGTGGTGGAAACATCAGGGTTGGGGATTCAGTCCAAAATGGAAAAAATCAAATGAAACGGTCTGCCCTAATTGAGAACAGTACCCAGCTAATATGGGATTGTGCCAAACAATAGATTGAATTTTCTTAAGCAGGGAAAAATGAAGGCTAAAATCTCACTTTGCGGTTCGGAGAAAACACTGTGAAAAAGGGAAATGAAAATCGTTTGAAATAACAGGACTTAACTGAACACATTCTTTTATTTTAGTCCATGGGAATTCCCAGGTATCCGATGCTGGCCATAACAAAGATCGCGTCTATTTTTTGGCCCCCAAAATTCCCTCCAATTCGACGAAAGAATCCAATAAATAATGAAGGGGAAAATCAGCCATATGGCTGCGGGACAACGACCAAAAAATTCATTTTGCAGGATTGAGATAATTTAAAGACTGCTAAACTCGATGTGGGAGAGCAGATCCGAGGAGTTCAGTGAATGAACCATTCACTCATCATTATGGACGTGCTGCGATTTGCGGTCATGATGGTAACTCTGATTTTGGAATCTGTTATCCCTAACAGCGCTTCTTCTTCACGGTTTATGCCAATCACCGAACTCCCATTTATACCTGATCCAACGACCGCACAGGGGATAGAAATACAAGAACATCGCTGAGAAATAGCCTGAGTATTTTATGGGATAGTTTGGCAACCTTTAGTGAAAATGTCGCCCGATGTTGAGGACGTCGCGCATATCGAACTGGCCAGACATTTCATAAAGTCGTTATGCAGCAGGTTCATGTTCTCGCAGCACATGGTCTATATAAGGGACACTAAGCAGGCATCTATGTGTCGACATTCAGACCGATTTTGAAAATGCACACGGTTATCCTTTTGATGAAAGAAGTTTTGAGTAACCGGAAAATCAATATGACGGACGCATGAACAATAGAAGAACAAGATATTTTAAAAACCTTGGGTAGAACGAATGTGGTATTTGGGCAGAGAACGGGATGGCTTTCAAACAATGCTGAGGAAAGAACACACGAGAGCATCTGAAAAAAAACATCATCATCGAGTGCCATTACGATTGATTATTGAGTGGAACGCTCGAGTAGAACTGAAGAAAGCGCAGACCCTAGTCAATAATACCTAGAGATTACTGAACCTTAATGGAGTCTGCAACGAAGCAGTCAGAAGCCAGAAACAACGTCTTACTAAACCAGGAGACGACTTACGGATTGTCCATTGGGTAAAACGCAATGAATACGGTTAGACATTGGACGAACATTGGACAAGAAGCCAGCCCCAAATGACATTGAGAAAATCTCAATTCCGGGAACTGTATAGAAGTTTACGGTAAATATTTCCCAGTATCTGTTGATATTTCATCTGAGTGGTACGATGTGTATTCACGTATCTGAATTTATAAAGATACTAAAGAATAATGTGAAAAAATGGTCGAGGTGAATTCATAAACCATATATGATTCGACACTTGAGATTCTTCGGATCATCTAGCCGACAAGCATGCAGGATCGAATTAAGAAATTGCATCAATGCGATAAAAGCAAGCGTAACAGGAAGATAAAGTCGACTGGGCAGCATCGGAATCCGAATTTATCCTCCTCATATACCTGCTCGATAACCACACGACCGACCGGGTTCATTTATCGATTGGTTGGATGGCACAGCCTCAACGGAGGACCGCTACTCTCCCAGCTACACGGGAGAGAAACCAAACTTTACACGGTCAATGCTTGGATTATCCCATTCAATTTTTCACACGCATCAGGTACTGATGACGATCTTGTGTGTACTTCAGTCCTTGGGAGAGTGTTATTTAACCATTAATTAAATAAATCCAACATCTGGGCAGTGATGGCCAAGTGGTTAGGTTTCCGGATTATGACCTGGGTTCGAACCGCTCCATCACCGCCCGTCTTCTTCATTTTTGTTTTGGTCAGACAGCCTTTGTATCGCCGCGACCCCCTTCCTGAAACGTAACTGTATATATATATATTCAATAAATAAAAAAGGAAGTAAAAAACATTGATTTATTGATTATTCCCCATTGCTGATTGATAATTCCACGGGACTAAATGACTAATAATTTTTGAG